CCTAAATGACTTGGGACGGAATACTTTGCAGTGTTCCCTGGCTCAGGTGGCCTTCCCCTGTTCCCTGGCGTAGACATGATTGAATCTTCATACATTCTGTGACATTAAGATACGATTGATTTCTGTAATCGACGATGCCGCTAATTGAGTTTTTTGAGATTTCCACATTGTATTTTTCACAAGTCGGTAACGGAGAGAGAAAATGCACCACATTGATGTCCTACTTACTAAAGGTTTTTATTTACTGGGAATCGTCACAGCGCCACTACAAGGTTAACTTTTAGTGTATCTGTAGGGCAGCCTCTCCACGGATTGGTGGAGAAGCTCCTCAACCATGGGGTTAATTGGCTGAGAAGTTTGACGTCATTCAAATGCCCAAGACCAAGCTGATGGGTGGCTGCTGTATTGTTAAATCTTTGCAGTGCTATATGTTGATATTTCTTTGCAGTGTTCAATACATGTGCTGGTAGGACCCCAAAGCAGAAAACAAAAGCATATTCTTCTACAAGATATAGCGGATTGTTTGTAGACTTTAAACCGCTGTTGTATATGTTATGTGGTCTCTATGAACCTGTTCTTGTGTGTTGAGGTGTGTAATCTGAGGTGGTTTAATGGAGAATCTGTACATATATATATGAAAAATACAGTCTAATATTCTCAAGGTCTGATATTTCTTTCTCTTGCATTTATTCACACCTTTTTTGTTTTGTTTAATAGTGAGTCTTTTTTACTTGTATACCTTTTATTTTTACAAGTTACTAAGTGCTGCAGCTTATCAGATCTGTAGACCAGGGTTCGAGTCCCGGCGAGGGACATGTACGTGGTTTCATATTGTCATCAAATACAAGTGTGACTTCAAGTGAGGTTCAAGTCCTGCTGATTTCCATGGAAAGGAGTTATTTGAAATTAAGTCAAGTATAATTTCCAACCAAATGTTATCCAGCTTCTTGGTGGTGAACTCTGTAGACTCAGGTTTGAGTCCCTGCAAGTATGGCCACCAAGAAGGAAGTACCCAAGCCCTTTTCATATGCATGTTGTATATATGGGAAAGGGGGGGGAAACTACTTAATTAAAGTTCGGGGGGGGGAATCATTCATTAACTACTTAGGGTTTTGTGTTAGTAACGGGGTTGGGTTTTATGGTTGAACTTCAGGGTTTGGGTTTCCTATTTGGGTTTAAGGGTTTGGTTTATGGTTCTAGGGTTTGGTTTTAGTATTCGGGTTCTTAGGTCTTGTTGGTGCAACGGAGCGAGCTATGAGCTCATCCGCACAGGACACCCGGGTTCAAGTCCCAGTGAGGGAGTGTGCTGTGGTGTCATCTTATTTCTACATGAATTATAATGTCACATACAAGTGCGACTTTCCAGCACTGCAACCAAGAAGGAAGAACCCAAGCCATTTTTATATACTATATGGGAAAGGGGGGGGGGGAAAAAACTCATTCATTAACTACTTAATTAAAGTTCCAGGGGGGGCTCATTCATTAACTACTTAATTAAAGACACATTCATGTCCACCCGCACACAAAAAAATTTCAAGACAGCTTTGGTTGTAACACCCCCCCCAGCCCCTATGAAGGGGGGGATGGAGGGGTTCTGCTGACGTTGAGGCCCTTCTTGGGGGTAACTCGTTCTTGGAGGCCGTGTGCGGGGACTCGAACCTGAGCCTGCAGAGTGTTCACCAACAGCCCTTACCGCTGAACCACCAAGACGCCAGCTGAGACACGGTCGGAAGTTACACTTGACCTTACAATTCACATGACTTACAAATAAGAGCTCGTATCGCATCACAACACACAAGAGGAAACCACATAGATGTCCTTCGCCGGGACTCGAACCCTGGTCTACAGATCTGATAACCTGCAGCCCTCTGCTTTGCACCACCTGGACATCCACTGTGATGTGCTGGAAAGTCGCACTTGTATTTGACATTACAATTCATGTAGAAATAAAACCATAGGACAAGTCCTCACTGGGACTTGAACCCGGGTCTCCTGTGCAGATCACACACAATTCTGTCCCCTGCGCCACAAGGTCACACTCCTATTTGACATTACAATTCAGGTGACGTAGAAATAATCACTGGCGTCCCCAAGAGCCCTCTTCTTATATCGCGTTGTCCCAGCCAGGGGCGGTTTTAGGCCGTCAATCTCAGCCCCCCCAAACGAAGAGGACATTTTTACCTTTCCAACGATACCAATATTATTTTTGTACTTTAAATAGAACCCGAGATATGTCCTAATTAAGGACATAAGGACCGTCTAAGACTAGAGGGATGGACAATGGGAACACTCTGACCTTGATGTGATTTGAAAACACAACCTTCTGATCGGGAGTCAGAAACACTACCGTTGCGCCACAAGACCAGATTGTGGGCTCTTCCAGACATCAAATTGATGATCATCTTTTGCCACAGTGAGCAAAGCGTTACAGATAAAATGTGTTTCTAACAGAAAGCTATTCTGACAGTCCAGAACAAAGGGGAGAACATTGGGAACATTTTGACCTTGATGTGATTTGAACACACAACCTTCTGATCTGGAGTCAGACACGCTACTATTGCGCCACAAGGCCTGAAGACAGTTACTTCCAGACATCAAATCGCCGATCATCTATTGCTAAAAGGATTACAGGAAAGCAACACATTTCTTTCTGAAGAAGGGAGCAGATTTTACAGTCTGGATTAGAGGGATGGACAATGGGAACACTCTGACCTTGATGTGATTTGAACACACAACCTTCTGATCTGGAGTCAGACGCGCTACCATTGCGCCACAAGGCCTGAAGACAGTTTCTTCTAGACATCAAATCCCCGATCATCTATTGCTAAAAATGAGAAAAGGATTACAGGAAAGCAGCATGTTTCTGTTAGAAAAAGGGAGCAGAATTTAGATTAGAGGAATGGACAATGGGAAGACTTTGACCTTAATGTGATTTGAACACACAACCTTCTGATCTGGCATCAGACGCACTACCATTGCAGCACAAGGCCTGAAGACACTTGCTTCTAGACATCAAATCGATGATCATCTATTGTTGCCAGTGAGCAATGGGTTAGAAGAACACTAGGTTGCTGTTAGAAACTGGGAGCTGATATCACAGTCCGATAGGACGAGTGGAACAATATAACCGTGATGTGATTTGAACACACAACCTTCTGATCTGGAGTCAGACACGCTACCATTGCGCCACAAGGCCTGAAGACAGTGACTTCTAGACATCAAATCGC